TTTCATAAGGAATTTGAAATTCAAGATTCAGATTCATTAATAATAGTCTTTAAAACAGATCCGCATGGTATTCAGGATTTTAATTAAACACAAACAAGAGTAACAATATCAAGTGTTATCAGTTCTTAACTGATATAGTAACAGTATCAAGTGTTATCAGTTCTCAACAAATATAGTAACAATATCAAGTGTTATCAGTTCTTAACAGATATAGTAACAATATCAAGTGTTATCATTTCTCAACAGATATAGTAACAATATCAAGTGTTATCAGTTCTTAACAGATAGAGTAACAATATCAAGTGTTATCATTTCTCAACAGATAGAGTAACAGTATCAAGTGTTATCAGTTCTCAACGGATATAGTAACAATATCAAGTGTTATCAGTTCTCAACAGATAGAGTAACAATATCAAGTGTTATCAGTTCTCAACAGATAGAGTAACAATATCAAGTGTTATCAGTTCTTAACAGATATAGTAACAATATCAAGTGTTATCAGTTCTTAACAGATAGAGAACTGATAACACTTGATATTGTTACTCAACAGATAGAGTAAAGAACTGATAACACTTGATATTGGATACTGTTACTCTATCTGTTGAGAACTGATAACACTTGATATTGTTACTCTATCTGTTGAGAACTGATAACACTTGATATTGTTACTCTATCTGTTGAGAAATGATAACACTTGATATTGTTACTCTATCTGTTGAGAACTGATAACACTTGATATTGTTACTCTATCTGTTCAGAACTGATAACACACGATACTGTTACTTTATCTGTTCAAACGTTATCATTTCTCAACAGTTAGAGTAACAATATCAAGTGTTATCAGTTCTCAAACTTTCTGTTCATTACAAACCCACTGTACATGTGCACATTACAAACATATAGTACAAGTGTTATCAGTTCTCAAACTTTCTGTTCATTACAAACCCACTGTATACGTGCACATTACAAACATATAGTACAAGTGTTATCAGTTCCCAAACTTTCTGTTCATTACAAACCCACTGTATACGTGCACATTACAAACATATGGATATCAGAGTAAAGTTTAATAGTGTATATAATAGGTAACACCTCCGTAGTATTGTTGGAAAATGATCAGGCAATGATATCAGAGTAAAGTTTAATAGTGTATGTGATAGGTAACACCTCCCTAATATTGTTGGAAAATGATCAGCCAATGATATCAGAGTAAAGATAAAAATTGTGTGTGATAGGCAGCGCCTCTCTAGTAGTAAAAGAAAACTATTAGTTTTAACCAGCTGTTTATTGTTGCCGACATACTATAAGTTTCCATTCATATCAGCCAATCATCGCTCCATAAATTAGAATAATCTCACATATTAGCCAATGGTATTTCTTTATTTTTGAAAGTTAAACATTTTAGCTAATCACTTGTCCTATTTTCAGAGCACTAGGTGTCTCTGTAGGAATACATATTTTGACATAAAATCACTTTGATACATATTATTGAAGAACCTTACACTTTTTAACAAGAGATTTTCTGTTGTCAATTCTATGTCACATAGAAAGGTCGCTCTGATTGGCTAGAAACCGCAAACAGTAATCAAAGAAGTTAATGACTGGGAAACAAGTAGGACTTTGTGGTCACTTTCTACTGAAAATATGAACTTGAACTAGTTAATGATTTACTAACTTAGGAGTTGCTGGTGATTTGGTTCACGTCTCTAAGTGTTACTGATGATTTGGTTATTGTCTCTAGATGTTACTGGTGATTTAGTTTTTGTCTCTAGATATTACTGATGATTTGGTTCATGTTTCTAAGTGTTACTGATGATTTGGTTCATGTTTCTAAGTGTTACTGATGATTTGGTTCTTGTCTCTAGATGTTACTGGTAATTTAGTTTTTGTCTTTAGATATTACTGATGATTTGGTTCTTGTCTCTAGATATTACTGATGATTTGGTTCATGTTTCTAAGTGTTACTGATGATTTGGTTCATGTTTCTAAGTGTTACTGATGATTTGGT